AAAAAAAATTTAAAAAAGGTATATGGGAGAAGTGTAGCCTAGATAGCCAACCCCCCTCTTTTTTAAATAACACCTTTCTACCTTTATCTCTAAGCCCAAAATACAAGAAGCAGCTTTCCTTTTCTGACAGGTGAAACAGGTTAACAATCACACCAGGGTTGGAGTGGGCAGTGTGGCTTGATTTGTAGATTGAAAGAACTCTGAGCTCAATTACTGTGCTGTCTGGATGATTCTAGTTCAGCAAAATGATTTTTCCAAGCTCTGATTGAATTAAAGTTCTTCAAGTGCTAGTCTAGACAAGAGTATGGACTGAGGCCATCTTGGAGTGCACTGTAGTGGATCAGAAGAATTGATTTTCTGGCTCTATATAAGGTAGCTTTACATGTTCACTTCATAATTCAATAAGTGAATTGATTTTTAAACAATTGTTGCAGTGTGAGAACATCCTTACTTCTTGCCCTTACAGCATCTAAGATTTTGTAGGAATTCACTTTTGAATCTTACTATTTAATTCCTGTTATACAATACAATATACTAATTTATAGGAAATTCCAGTTAGTTAGGAGAGAGAATTTGTTTTGTGTATGAAAATGGTGAAAATGTCTGTTGTTGTCATACTATAAAATCAAAGAACGTTATATTGCAGAGTGGTGTAGTGGTTTCAGGATTGGACTATGACTCTGGAGGCCAGGGTTCAATTCTTTGCTCAGTTATGGAAGCCCACTGGGTTACCTTGGGAAAGTCACACACTCTCAGTCCCAGAAAACCCCATTATAGATTCACCTTAGGGTCACCATAAGTCCGAAAAAAATTCAAAGCACATAACAACAATCAGTCTAGTTTACAAGCAGCAGCATGATGATGATGATGAATCTGGGGGACAGAACTCAATTCTTTGAACTAAACATTTTTTTTCCTTCTCTTGAAGATCGTGTGTTTCATTCTGAAGACAGTACCACTGAAGTCTACCAGGGTGTGGCTGCTCCAATTATAAAGTCTGCTGTTCAGGGATATAATGGTATTATTATTATTGTTGTTATTGTTATTATTAATATTCACTTTAGACCCTACCTTTTCCCCAAAATGGGATTCAAGGCAGCTTAACATTAAAATACAATTAGTTAAAACAGCATGATGTAGTGGTTTGACAGTTGGATTAGGACTCTAGGAAACTAGGTTTCAAATGCACAGTCAGCCACGGTAACCCACTGGTCTTGCCAAGAGTCCCCAGAAGAGAGTTGCCATAACTCAGTCCACTTGAAGGTATATAATGATGAGTTTAAACAAACCAAAGATCAATGTTAAAATGGAATTTGAAACACCATTTGAAAACTATTTAAAACAGGGACAGGCAACCTTTTTGAGACCTGGGCCAGTCTCAAAAAGGTTGCCACTCGGCTGGGCCAAGGGGGGGGAATGGCGGAGTGCGCGCGCCCTCCTCCGCCTCGCGCGACCCCCCCTGCGCACGCTGCCGCCGCCGTAGCGCACACAGCTGCAGCTGCCACGGCGCATGTGCGGCCGCCATTTTGGAAGTCAAAATGGCGGCCGCAACGTGTTTGCGCATGCGCAAAAGTATTGCGCATGCGCAAATGCGTCGCGGCCGCCATTTTGACTACCAAAATGGTGGCCACAACAAGCGCGGCCGAAAATGCACCCCGGTAGCGGAGCGTGGTGGCAGCGACGGCGGCAGCCTTCAGCCGGGGCCGGTAAGTCCGGCCCCCGGGCTGTAGGTTGCCGGTCCCTGATTTGAAACATCAAGTTAAAAATAATAAAACCTGTGCTAAAAACAGTACAGTGTCCTCTTAAAATTCCTTAAACATCTGTTAATGTGAAAGTTTGCATTCTGTGCGAGCATCAGTGTGAGTTAATCTTTGTGCTTCCTTCTTAGGAACAATTTTTGCTTATGGTCAAACAGCTTCAGGCAAAACCTACACAATGTTGGGCACACGAGATTGTCCTGGTGTCTTACCTATGGCAATTCATGATGTCTTCAATACAATTTGCAAAGTAAGTAATTTTTAAACTTTTATCTTTCATTTGCTTGTTCAATGTTGCAAAGCTAGATGAGGCTAGTGTTGTACCTGATGTGACAGTTCCTAGCTTGGTTTAAGGCACAAATCTTCCAGATATTCTAGATTACAATTCCCACCATGTCTTATCCCTGACCAGATTGGGTGGGAATGATTGGAATTGTAGACTAGAGCATTTGGAACACCAAAGATTCCCTACCTCTAAGTGAGTAAGTCCCACATAGCCTTTCCTTTTAGAGGGAAAGGCTGGCAGGCTAGGCTTCTGTTTCGTTCTTTTGGAATACTGAGATTGCTGGTTTTATGATTGTTGTTGTTACCTATTAGATTGCATCATCATTGTACATGGTGCTTTACAAGAAAAGGAACAAGAAAAAACAGTTCCCTGCCGTCAGGCTAACAATCTTATTGCCTGAAAACAATAAACTGGTTCCACCCCTTTTCTCCTAAGGTATCCTAATGTTAGGCCCCCAGAAGTTATTAGACTACAATCTTCATCATGATTGATTGTTGGTTGCAGATGTTAGGAATGGTACTCCAACAGCCAAGATTGATTTGTTTCAATCATAAAGTAGGTGGGATTTTCTAAAAAAAACAACAACAATGTAATTGATGTTAAGGCTTCATTTATAAGGGGGGGGCATCTTCAAGCAAGCTGATGAATGTATTCTCTTAATCTTTAGATTCCAGACAGAGAATTCCTACTCCGTATATCATATATGGAGATTCACAATGAAACTATTCAAGACCTGCTGTGCAGTAACATTAGAAAAAAGAAACCATTAGTTGTTCGTGAGGACATCAATGTAAGTAAATCAAGGCTAGAGAATCTCCTATATTATATATCATATTATGTTATATACAAAAGTAGTGGTGTAATCTGGAAGATAAAATGCCAGTTATTGAAAAATTGCTGATACCTACCTATCTTTTAATACTTCATTGCTTTTGCACTAATAAACTCTTCTATTCTCAAAACTGATTATGTATTGCATTAGATGTTGTATTAGAGCACTGCCTTAAATACTTTAGATCAGGGGTAGGCAACCTAAGGCCCGGGGGCCGGATGCGGCCCCCCGAGGCCTTTGGACCGGCCCCAGGCTGGTTCTGCCACCGCTGCCACCGCCCACCATGGTGATATTGATTATTATTGTTATTACTTGTCCTTGGGGTTTTCTTGGCAAAATCTCCACAGGGGTTTTGCCATGGCTTTTCTGGGTCTGAGAGAGTGTGCATGCATATTTTTTAATTTCTTTTTAATTTTTAAAAAATATTTATTTATTTATTTATGGTGCTTCGGCCCCCCAATTGTCTGAGGGACAGCAACCTGCCCCCCGGCTCAAAAAGGTTGCCTACCCCTGCTTTAGATTAATCTTGTATTCGTCACAAACAAGTCTTAATGTAGGGAATTGCTAGATAGCTGTTTAATGTAAGAATGTTCTAAATCTAGTTTTAAAAACTCTTGCAGAGGACAATTTACGTTGAAGACCTGAGTGAGGAAGTGGTAGTTTCTCCAGAGCAAGTGCTAAGCTGGCTACAAAAAGGCGAAAGTAAGCCTCAGTATTTCTTTTGTGGCTTAATGTGTACAAATGTATGTCTGTGCAATTCTGTAACATCAGCAGATCTCTTGGTATTTTGGAAAAGAGGATAATTGCCTCATTTTTTGTGATCTTCTGTACAGAAAATAGGCACTATGGTGAGACAAAAATGAATGAACGAAGCAGCCGCTCTCATACAATTTTCAGAATGGTAAGTTCTTTTATTGAATTTTATTTTATTGAGTTCATCATGTCAAAATATTAGTGATCTGGCATGTAACTGGTTAATAATAAGTTGTAGTGGTTTATGTATTTATATCCTGTCTTTCTTCCAAAACGGGAATTCAAGGCAGCTTCCAATTTCAAAAACAATATAGTCAAAAGCACACAAGAAGTGAATGTTAAAAAAGAATTAATTAAATTACTGACAGTATTTAAATTATTTAAATGATTTAAATTTACACTTAAGAGATAAAATACAATTAAAAGATAAAAAGTAATTAAAGCAGTTCAGTTTAAAACATTACAACAAATATGGTCCATTCTTTAAAAACCTCCCATTTTAAAAGCATTTTATTCCAAAAGCCTGTTGGAATCAATATATATTTGCCTGCTAGTAGAAGGATGGTTGTGGGGGACATTCTGGCCTCCTTTGGAAGTGATTTATAGTCTAGAAAGCCTTTTCTGACATCCCCACCAACTATGCATGTGATGATGATAGAGCTGAGAGAAGGACCTGTCCACATCTCAGGGCCCAGACAGGCTCATATAGGGAGATATGGTCTTCCAGATAGCCTGGACCTGAGCCATATAGGGCTATATGGGCCATCACCAGCAGTTTAAATTGTGCTTGGAAACAAACTGGCAGCTAGTGAAATTGTTGTAACAAGGAGCAGTATGGTCCCTGTAATCTGCCCCAGTTAATGCAGTTAATGGTCTGTGTTCTAGCTGAAATTTCTAAACGTTCTTTAAAGAAAGAGTGCATTAAAGTACCATATGGGCTATAACTAAGGTATGTACGACTATGGACAGGTCTGATATTTCAAGGATATGGACACAGTTGGTGCACAAGCTTTAAATGTGCAAAAGCACTTCTGGCCACCACAGAAGCCTGACCCTTCAAGTTCATAGCTAAGTCCATGAGTACACCCTAACTGTGAACCTGCATCTTCAAGTGGAGTGTAACTCCCACCTACAGTCGAAAAAATCTAGGCTAACTTCAGTTAGCTAGAGGGCCTTCTCCACTGCTGCTCCAAAGTTGTGGAATGACCTACCGGAGGAGATCTATCACATCTCTACTCTTACAGCCTTTAAAAAGGCTGTTAAGATGGATCTCTTCTGGCAGGCCTTCCCAACTTAACTCCTCTCCCCGCACAAGGTGATCTACATCTCTCTATCCACCGATTATCTCCTCTTTTTAAAAATCTTTTTGTACTTTTGCTCTTAAATTATGATTCCTTATTGTAATTTTAGTATGGGGGGGTTGGGAAAGGACTAATTTTGAATTTTATTGTATTCCATGCACTTTTATTGCTGTAACCCACCCAGATTCCTTATGATTGGGCGGGCTATAAATAAATAATTTATTATTATTATTACCCAACACAGACTGAATCCCTATTGCCTAATTTGTCTTTCAACTGAATGGGAGCACTTCTTGTCTTGGAGTCTATCTCCCAGCATCCCTCACCATTGACTATGCTGACTAGGTCTTCTGGGAGTTTCAGACCAGTGTTGTACAATTTCCATCCCTGGCGTACAGAGGGAGGGGGAATTATACTCTCTCTCCATTCTGCTTATAGAAGCAGTTCAGTTAGCAGGAGAACTAGATTGGATACCATCCATTATAGTTAGTGTTCTCTCACATGACTTGGAGATTGTCAAACAGGTTGTTTCTGAAAATATTTATATCTGGTTTTGTATCCAAATATTTCAGGGCAGGATACAGTTTTTTAAAAAAGAAGAAAAAATCACAAAACAGATAATGAAATATTTTAAAAGCAATTTAAGATAATTGGAAAACAGTTAATGTAGTGTAGATAACATACTATGAAACAGAAATCCACAACTAATCAAGCTGTGATTACTGGCCCCGAAGATTTGGTGAAAAGCTGTGTTTTTGCTTGCCACTGAAATAAAGCTTTGGGA